TTTGTGGGCGACTGTCAATAAGTGTTTTTGTTTGATTCATAAAGAGTTGATCCTTACAAATATGGATAACAAAATATTCACAAGAACTAAAAGTATCAACTGGTGCCATTTCAACACAGTAAACACATTCAATTTTAATAGAACACTGCTTCGGGTGAACACTGTACATGCTTCGAGCTTGTGTTTGGTGTCGACTTAATATCCCGAGAAACACCGAAGCAATAGAGAAGCCGGAAACAGCGATCAATTTTCGCATTGTTGCCTGTGAGCAGGAAGCAGTTTGGTGCGCGTGGAACTTTCCCCAATGGCCCGGTGGTGTGGCAGGGGGGAGCGGGGTCAGAGGAGCCAGAACAGGCAGCCAGCATATTGCGCAGGTGGAAAATTTATAATTTGCGAAATTGCCACACTCACACACGGACTCACGCACGTTGGCAGCATGTTAAATGGGCAGTCAGTGGGTCCTTCCCGCCTCCCGCTTCCCCCCTCGTCCTGCTCGGATCCAGCCCCGGCTGCCTTAAATTATGTTAACCTCAAACGAGACGATCCCGGCCTCCGACCCAGCACGACCCGTGTACAAAGTTCGATTTAAGGCCTCGTTTATTTTGCCATCCTCGCATAGGTGGCACTCACCAGCCGGAAGGTCGGGGAGGGGGAAAGGGAAGGGAACCAGTCGTCTGGTTGCATGTTACAAAAGTTGTTGCCGTTGCACAACCGCATGCCACAACATGCAGCCCGACTGGACGACCTGCGGGGACTGGGCTACAACAGGGGTCGGGGTTGCGAGGCGCCTGGGACTAGGGTCTGACATGCCCCACTTGGCAATTGCCAAAACTATTTGTTTACATATTTAGAGCAGGCCAAGGAAGAAAGCCGGCAAGGCATGTTGTCAAGGCATGTTAACTGTGAAATATGCGCATTTAAATGGATATGGCAGCAGGAGATTCGGGGAGTGGAATGCGAAACAGAGGTGCTTCAGGGAATCGTTTGTTAGCACCTGCAGTAGGCAACCAAAGAGATATTGATATGATAAATGCCTCCTCCTAGAACTCACAGCATCAGTATGAAAAGAACATATGCTAAAGCTATTCTCTATTAATAATGGCTCCCCACCATCAGTATTTAAATAATCTTTCGATATGTGGCTTATATTGTGGCTTGCCAAAGTACCATACAAAAATAAGAAAATATGCCGCTCCCCTTCATGGCAGACAAATCCACATCACTTAGAATCAAAGTTGATCTCTTCAGACGTAATTAAGCCATTTGCTGCACGTTTTGCCAATTCAAAAATGGAGCGTCCTCCTCCGATTCTAACCTTTAAACCCTTGGCATCTTCTTCTTATCGCCGCCTGCCACCAAATGCAAAGCCAAAGAGGCTGAAAAGCTGAAGTCAGCCTCATTTAAATCGCCGAATGGGGGAGTAATGTGAATCGCGCCACATAACAAGGCGTGGTTTCATCCCTCTATGTGGGGAAGGAACAGGATGCCCTCTGGGCACCAAATTCGTAGAAAAATCACGCGCGCTTATCTGACGCCGCAACCTTAACCAAACCCACGCAATTAACGCCCATTGGGCTGTCAGTATGAAAAATGAGCGATGGGGGAACCCCCGAGGAATTGCCAGGGAGGCAGTCTCGAGCAACTGAAAATGATTTGCAAACGACTAGCGGCCTCTATCGAATTCCGAATTGCGAACGCTCCACTCCACCAATAGCTACAAATTTTAATTGCTTCAGCGATATCTGAACGGCGGGGGCGTAGCAGGGGCGTGGCAGGACGGCCCCGAGGAGCACGACGACTGCGTCATGGCAATAAGTCGCATTGATAAGAGAGTCACGTTCTGGTCCTGGCAAGGGAAGACAATGTTGTTGCTGTCTTCATTATCAATGACAGAGGCGAACGGAAGGAGGTTTTCGCAGGAAACAATGGTTACTCTTTTATTGCCCGAGCCTGTGCCTGTGAGTCAAATTGATAAGATGCTGAAAATGACTGGGAAAACAATAAACGTGGGCATGAAACGAATAACGCCAGTGTTCACTTGCGTAAGAAGGGAAGAAGGTGTTCCTTTTGGAGCGGAGTGGGCACCAATGGAGGGGGAGGAACACCGTTTTCGGTGCATAAACAGAACGTTTGGGACATTTTAATGAGCGGCAGGAGGACGCCTCCAAGGCCTCGATGGGTTCCTTGCACTCTGTTGGTCCTGAGGAGAAATGGCAGTCGCCTGGAGGAGAAACTTTTGTACCAAAAACAATTTCAAGCACTCTCAGAGCAGGGCAAAACTTTTCCGAAGATAACTGGGTAAAGGTTTGGTTAACCCTGAAGCTGGAATATGAGCTGCATCATCACTCCCTCTTCCTAGTCACCGCAACATTGTTACACTTCATGCCTGGTGCAGAGAGTTATCCCCAGCGTCATATCTTTAACTTGACCCATTTGCTTAGTCAGCCAAAGTCAGGGAGGTCCGTCGAATCTCCCCACCAGCGCCGGCTAATTTCACAGCTAAGTTAAGTAGCCAAGAACTTGACAGTCATTTAATAAAATTTCATTTCCACCCATCATTTCAACGTCCTCGAGCCAGAGACAACGCACAGGGAAAGTCAAGTTCGAGTCTAAGTCGGAGTCCGCAATTTTGATGCGCAACAAAATTTTATGAAATACTTGGAGAGCAAATTTTATGTGAGTTGGAGACTATAAAATTTTAGCGCTAGCAAAAGTCACTGAAGAGCTTCCAGCGGTTTCGCCGGACTCCCCCTCAGCTTTTCGTGTCTTTGGGTCCCTGGGCTCGCCTTTGGCTAATAATACCAGAGCATTTACACCTTTATGGGGCGTACTTAGAAGCGCTTATTTATGCTAATGGCGGAAGTGGGCCAGGGATGAGGAGGAGGCAGGGGCCCGCCACTAATTCCACCCCGAAGCACTGTAAAAGCTTGAGCGCCAAACAACAAGGGATAGTGAGCTTAAGATTTGAGCAGGTAAAGTTGGGAGGATGTGCAGAGTACGTATATTTCATCACACCACTCGCAAAGTTGTGGGCCACCCTCATCTCTTGACCTTCCCAGCACCGTTCCCCTCACTCCCCACCCTCCGGATCCTGCCCCTCGCCCGGCGGACAACGACTTCGTGCTTCACATTCTTGTCTCGAATGTGTTTGTAATTTCCCTAGAGTGTGTTTGACTTTGACGACTTAAGTTGTAAAACTTTAACATTATCATTTTCACTACGACGAGACCAGGAGTAGAGCGCAGGACAAAAGCAAGACACGAGCAGATCCTTGGAGCATGTGTGTCCTGTCCGACGAAAGTCTGCTCCTTTAGATGCTTGTCCTGAGCCCAGACAGACATTTTGATGATGTTGACCTTCGCTGCTTTTACTTTCACCGCACAGCGTCGCCGTAAGTTCCCTCGGCTTCTTTTTAAGTTTTCTGCGACCTCTGGATATTGTTGACATATCGTATTACAACAGCAGATAAGGCCAACGGTGAGAGGGAAAGTTCAGGGAGCCCGCCAACTCTCGTCTAGCCCTGGCTCGAATTACGAAATCCCAAACCGATATTTTGGTAAATTTCTCCTCACATGTGTCAATTAGTTCAATCAGAAAGCGAACACACATCGACCGCATGTGCCTTTCGTCCTGAACCCCAGATGAACTACCCCAGAAAGACATCGACGAATCGAATGTCACTTTAAAGGTCTGTTTCTTTTCTATAGTGAAAATAACAAGCAACCAAGGAAATAAGGTAAATCACGACCGCGGCCAAACCTCCCTTAATCTAATTTCGGTGTTCAAAAAAATGTGATCAATTAGATGGCAGCGTTGTATCTTTATTGGATATTCAAAATGTGAGCGGGATATACAATTTTGAGGTTAATGCCCTTAAGTGAACTGAAAACTTTGCGTCTAAAAAAAAATAACAGCGGCCTAGTAAAAAATTTCAGTAAATAAATGAAGAAATAATTTCCGTCCTGACCATGATATTTTTACAATTACTTTTTCATATTGTATAAAGACAAATTACATTCATAAGGCAGTCTACAATGCAAATCGAAATGCGCATTTTTTCCACACCGAACTCATTTTTTCTCACACATTGAATCAATTTCTCCAGATTTTCCCATCCCATTAAAATGTTAACCTGATATTTAGCTTGCCGAGCTTATCGCCGGCGATTTCCCGTGTGCCGTAAATTGTAATCAAATTGGGCGAGGAGTCAATCTGATTTATGCATTTCCCATAGCCGATGACTCTCTTTTCGTTCGTTCGGAACCCGGGGCACAACTACCCCCCACCCTGCCGTTCTCGGGATTTCCCTTGAAAAGCCAAAAGGTAAACACATCAGCAGCGTTCGAAAATTACCGAGCCACCCTTTGGCACGCGGCGAAGGAGACCTTGTTCCACAAAGACATAATCAGCTCGATTTCGTAAATCTCGACAAGCTGCTTATCTGATGCAACGCGAGCGGAGTTTCAAGGATTCAAGGATCTGTATCCGTGATTAACATCTCCAGCTCATGTTCGCAGGGCAGAAATCCGGCCATGGGTGCTCCGGCTGACAGGCTGACAGCCGGACGTGCTGTACCGCCCTAAGTACAGTAAAGCCTGACGCGTGCTCCTGTCACACTTGCGACACATGGGGAGGTGGACCAGGGATCTCCGCTTTGATTGGCATCGGAAATTGAAGTGTTTTTATTAATTTCAATGTCGACTTTTTGCACTGTCTTCGATGATACTGCGAATGACTGCTTTTGGCCAAGGGCCGAGGTCCCCCTTTGCAGCTTTGTTTCTTTCTGCGGCCATAATTGAAATTCATCGTTGGCAGATTTCGATGCCGAGCTGATTGACAGCTGAGCGCGTGGAAAGATTGACGCTTATTGAATTGAGTCATCCGCTGTGGGGTGGCGCCACTCGGTGTTTGAAGCGGCAACTGTTGAGTCAGTTCGTGTGGAAACTGCGGAAAAGATTGCTGTGCATAAGCAATCCATTGTCAGTTGACTGTGTAGTCACTTGGGACTTGTGTCTAAATTTCCAACTCCTCGCCACACACACAAATCAGAGATGCCGCCAAAGCCCAAGCACCGCGACGTGGCCGAGTTCCTCAGCCGTCTCCGCAACTTCTTTTTGGGCCGCACCCACAAGACGGCCCTGCGTTTCGCCGACACGGTCTCCCCGCGGACTCAGCCGCCCCCGGACATTCCGCAGGGTCCCTCGCAGAACCTGTTCGCCAACTACTACTACTCAAGGGATCCTCGCAGCTCAGTCAGGCCGGCCGTCGATGTGGTGCAGGAGCACAAGCAGATGCTGGCAGCCAAGGAGAAGGCCGAGGAGGCGGCCAAAGCTGCGCAGGCCAAGACTGGACAGGGCCCGAAGGATGAATGTCCTCCGGAATGCGAGGATGTCGATGCCGAGGAGTGCGAACAAGAGGAGGACTCCTGCGCTAAGAAACTTCCCACTCCCGGCAAGGTCCATTCTTGGGAGGGACCACATTAACCGAGTTTCTAGTTCCTGTGTTGACACTCCGTTGAACATAATTAAAGTGTGCGGCTAGTTGCCTGCCCCATTACATGTGTGTTGCAGGTATTTACGACCTTGAGCAGAACAATTAGAGGGATTCACAGAGCAGGCAATGCAGCCGGTCGTAAAAATGTAAATCTAATTAGACGTCAGGAGTGAAAATCATTTATGGCACCTGCATGAAAATTTAATTAAGCACACAATTATCGAAGCTGGGAAGGCGCAAAATCGGATCCAAAGGGTTCGCTACTGGCCACAACAATAAATTTGCAGGCTTAATAACCTTTAATGCCATCAAAATTTATATTTACAATTTAAAACGAGGCAATTTGCCCGACGTTGAGTGGATTATGGGCCATTGTTAATGATGATTGCAGGTCGATTGTTAATTGTCTGGGCAGCACAATTTATGCTGATGACTTTCGCCCATCGATTTATTGATTGGAGTTTGATTTTGGCGCACATAGCCCAACCCCCGACGCTGGAGACTGCCAGCTCTCGCACAGAAAAGAAAAACATAACCAAGTTTTGCGCGTTATGCAAAAGTAATATTCTCCCCGCGCTAAGGGTGGCTCCCCTCGATTTATTGAAATTACCCTTACAGACGAAAGACCCGGGTTGAGTTGGAGGGTTGCACCGTTGGATTGAGAAAGGGTGTCAATTGCCCGGAAACTTCCGACTGTCAAGTCAACATGTTGCCGGGCTCTTCATCGCCAGCAGTTGGCGAAATATGAGACTTGATCCGAAACTGTGGCGCGCTTATATGACTGCTATCCACTTTCTTTTCTTGACTGTGAGTGAGTGCTTGCCAGAGCTGGTTTTTATTACCTCATATGAATAGGGAAATTCTGCCTAATTTAACCAAAACGGTGTTTGTAGCAACTGTGGCGCTTTGGAGACTGCGTTTCGGCAATCTGCAATGCTAATGCCTGGCAAAATTACTTTTACTGGACATTCTCAACTGGGCGCACTTAAAAAAAACAAATATTCAGAAAATCCGATGCCCACAAAGCAAACACTTCCGTCCGCACCCTTTCAACCCGCCCTTGAACCCGCATCCCCGCAATGTCAACCACTTGGGGTAACCGAAAAATTGCCTTTCATATAACGACAGCTGTGCCGCAGAGTCGCAGAATGTCAAGCTCCCGCCGCAAATGCTTCCCAATCAGAGACGCGTAATTAAAATATGTGCAAACAAACCGAAGGGAAAACTCTCATGTAAGAAAACACTGAGCAGAGCCAACTTTGTTTGCTTTGCGTGTTTTCCTATAAAACCAAAAGCAAAACCAAAGCAACAAACACAACAGCGGCAACTGGAATCGCGGCCAGGCAATAATAACAAGAAAAACATTTGCATAAAGCAACAAACGAGGAATTGGATGGAGTGGGACGCAGGCCAGACCAACCAAGTTTCAAGCGGAAGTTAATGAGTACTGGGTCTTGAGAAGGGAGCGTGACACGAGACTTGGGGTTCCAAATGGGTCCTGGATAGCACCATCGAATGTTCCAGCTAGTAAAACCGTACAATTTGTAATTGTCTTCTAAAACTATGAACTGGTACTGTGTTAGAAAGGACTACAAATCTGATAACTTAAAAGTTACTAAAGTACTTTATAGATGCAAAGATACTACTTTTACAAGGATATATTTTCTATTACTTTATACCTTGCAATAATATATTCAACATTATTAAACAAATGACTTTTTTTATTTAGTCAAGCGTGTCACGGCCACATCCCGGAACTTGGAATAGAAGAAATCTAAAAACTCAAATTCTCCCAAAGCGAAATCACTTCATTAATGCGTCATTTGTAAGGGGAGCCTGGCCAGACTTGGACTAGGACATCGCCATTCGCCACACTCCATTCACCATATGCAACATTGGCCCGCAGGCAATACGGAAGTTGTCTCCACGCCGGGCATGAAACTTTGCGCCGAACTTGCCACCGTAAGCTGCCCCAGGGTGGGGGGTTGACATCGTGCAAAAGTTGATTATTTTTTAGGGAGTCGCGCTAGTACAGTGAATAATGACTTTTGCCACCGTTCGCCGAGTGAGATGCCTCCGGCCAAGTTTACGTGCTTTTTTTATCTGTCGCCCTCTCGAAATTGGGGGAAAGTCCTTAGCTCTTGGTTTCCCGGCTGCCACCACGCCTCCCTGCCGCTTTCTGCTGTTGTCGCAAAGTTATGCAGGCTCATTAAGTTGTTGTACAGTTTAGAGAGAGAAAATTGTCAGCTTGCTTAATTTGCCCGAGTTGGGCTGAAGGCTGACGGGCAGCGGGTGGCGGGTGGATCTGGGGGAACGGAACTCGAGTGTAAACAAAAGACTTCCTTGCTGCGGCGCTCCTTTGTCCTTGTCCCGTTTGGTGGGGTAGTAGCTCATGGCGAGTGTTTAATGAAATGAATTTTAAGAGCGAATTTATTATATTTCCCCAAAATGAAATGGAAAGTGCGAGTCGCCCGGCCTCTGAATTTATTTCTCAGCCCCAAGAGCGGATGTAATTAAGCGAGGCTCTCGATTTTGATAGCGTACCAAGCAAATATCAAGGAACAAGGTAACATTTAAATATCTTAATAGTAAACGACCGTTTCCTACTCAATTTCACAATATCTATTCGCCTTTGCCAAAAGTACACAGAAAAGACTATAAAAATCACGAAAACATTTTAGCGGCTTTTTACAATAATGCAGAATTAAATAATTTTAGACTACCAGCCTGAAAAAATTGGAATACTTTTTATTATTAATTCATGTAGCTATGACAATGTTCGAAAAAATAAGACATTGATGAAAAATCATCCTTTGATCGAAAAATGACCAATTCGAGCATAAATTATCTTTGGAAAATATTAATATTTATGTTTGGAACCAACTCAGATCTAATCAAAATAAAAAAAAACCGTTGAGCTGATCTTGTTAGTGAATTCCATGGGTGAACGAGAATACGTATACTTGCAAATTTCGATCACACAATGCATTACTTTATCAAAGCTAATCAAATAATTTCGCATTACTTGCAAACTACTTACTATTTCTTTACTTATGCACCCCAAGCACAGCACAACAGATATCATTTTTCATTGGAAGAACTTTTGGGCTAAAATCCTACCCCGGAACGGCTGACCACATCAACTTTTGCTCTTCAGCTCTGACACAATTTCACCTTCAATTAAACTTGAGGTAATTGACGGCGATGCGGAGGAAAGAAATCCCCAATTGGTAACCGCAAGTCGGGGGAAAACTAATACAAGCAATCCTCCCCACGCAGCTGGAAAGATAAATGGCGATGCCTTAAACTGATTGTGTGGATTAAATTGCCATATTGGTGAAATTGGCAGAGACACCGTCTTCCATCTCCGCTCCCCGTGAGCTCTTTCTGCCAGGAGTCAGGCCAACAAGTATCGAAAACTTATTTTTGATAAGCGCAATTATAATTGGATTTGGAGGAAGTTGCTTCCGAAGCGAGCAGGTAATCGGAGTTGGCGCTAGTCCCCGCTTCGGAGTGGGAGCGATGATTAATCTACCTCCCGAGTATTTAAAAGCCAGCTCGCAGGCGGCAGCAAAGCAACCCGAAAGGAAAATTGGAAATGCGTTGTTTGGCTGCGATAAAGACGTGTTCGAGGCCACCCGCTCCCCACTCGGTGTTTCTTTTTGTAAATGTTTGCTGTCAAGATAAGCACAACCCAGCGTGTGGTTTGCTCTGATTCGCCCCTCCCCGGCCCCCTGATCCAGCACCCCGTCCGATAAGGATTACTCGCGGTGGGGGCAAGGAGTTTGTCAGGAGTCTCGGAGGCTGAGTCAAGACGGGTCTTAGCAGAGACAAATGAAGTTGTTAGCGGGTGGCCCCAGAGAGATGTTTTCAGGGCCGACCCTTTGCGGGGAGTGGGTGGCCAAAGGTCGATGCATTTCGGTGTTGCCTTTGATGTGCCCTCGCTGTGCCAGTTGATTGGTCATTCGGCCATTAATTGAGTTTAATTATTGGGGCGTTAATGAGGGGGTTGGTCCGGTCTCCCACCGAACGGAGGGTGGAACTGGAATGCAGCCGGGAAAGGGCAGATGATGGATGGGCGTGGGTGAAAGGAGTCAGGCGCTCGTTAAAGCCAGATTAAACGATTCTCAAGCAGGTCCTGAAACTTATAGCTAAGCCTTGATTAGTTGCCGGCTCTGGGAGCTGTCGAGGGGGTCGGGCTCTGAAGTCGGATATTTGCCACCTTCCAAAGCCGCCAACACACCCAGCGATGTCGATGGCTCATTAAAACTCTGCACATAACTCAAGGCGCGGGGCGAGTGCCCTGGACCACACAACCCAAAATGATAGACATTTATTTGCGCCCATAATTAAACGCAGACAATGCCAGCAAACAATGTTTGGGGCCGGCAACGCCTCCCTTGTCAAATATTTCAGGGCTGCGTTGGCAACAATTTACAAAATGCAAATGGGCGTTGTTTCCGCCTCCGCCGCCGCCACCCCGAGTCCTCTAATGAGCCCTCTTCCAAGTCGAGGCATAAATTTGGGAAATTCCGCATGCTGCTTCCTGTGCCTTGAGCACATGTGCCTCAAGTGGGTGGGTCTTCGTCCATTTTGTTCCGTTTAATTGTTGATTTTTCTTAATGGAAAAGCAACAGCAACTGTGGCAAAGTTTTTCTCAGAGCATCTCCCGATTGCAGTCAATTAAAAATTGCTAAGGAATCTCCGGCCCTCCTCGCCCTCCCTCGGGCCATCCCTTTCACTGACCGACCCTTTCGTGAACACCAAGGGACACTTCCAGTCAGCGCCTTTGTTGTGTGCAAATTAATGATGGCAATGATTTCGCTGGGGGTGTTTAAATTATGTTGCTCTTGAAATTCTGTTGATTTTAAGTTTTAATTGTACTTGTCAACCGTAAAACGGGGGCAGGCCGCTGACTTTGGGGGTTGTTTCGGGACTTACGTAATTTAACGAAGTAATTGAAATATTTCCTATAACTGTCCCGTTCAATCTTTAATCTTCCAGCTCTCCTGAATAGCTGGAGTACAATTTTCAACAGCAGCGCCGGCAAAGTTTTCCAAGCCCACACCCATCAATCCCCATCAGGACAGACATCCACGTCAAAGTTGCACACTGCGCTTTTATGCAGATAAATTGTCGGTTATTCCCACTCCGAGCCCCGCCTTCCCCCGCTCCGCGTTTCGTTCGGTTGCCTTTGCTGCCGCGTCAGTTGATTCGGGCCGGGGCTCCGGACGGGATCTGGAGGATCCGAACGGACCAATGGAACCAGATCCAGACCCAGCCCAGACCCAGACCCAACCCACGCCCAGAAAGCGCCGGAACAGAGCTGCCTTTGCCTGATTGTTTCATAAAAGTTTCTGGTGCAAGCCCAGCCACTATTGTTGTATTTGTTGCTCCTGCTGTTGTTGTGATTTGTGCAAATTAATTTGCTTATAATTTTTACGCTTAGTTAAACACAATTTTGAGTGATTTTCACACAGAGCCCAATGCCTGGGTGCTAAAAAGTTTTCCCTTCTTGGGGCAGGCGCGCAGTGGGCCCTAGCCTTGCCGAACGGAGAACGGCCGAAGGGGCCTCCCATTTGGGGAATATAGAAATTTGCATTGGAATCCCTTTTAAAGCCGGGCCAGCGCAAATCCTCATTTAAACGGAGAGAGCCGAAGCTCCCAGTTGCATTCCCCGGGGGCTTCGTTAGGCGCAACTGGCGGCCATGCAAATGTGGGCGGATGCGGAGGATGGGGAATCGACTACAAAAAGGCACATTTAAATTTTATTTCCGGGGTGGCCCCGCCACTCCGAAGAATTTTCCACCCATTTGAGCGTTTTTCATATTTTTATAAATTGCTATAAATTGAGATATTAATACGATACGCGACAAAAGTCACGGGATTCAGCTCCAGCCCGGCCCGACTCAAATTGCCGCTGCTGTTGTTGGTCGCTTGGTTCGCTGATTCCGCTGCGAACATGCGGCAAAAAGTGTCGGGACATTAAAAAATACGCGCGCAAGTGTGGCGCAAACAAAATGTTCAGTTATTTGTATAAATCGCGATGCGACAACTTTTTCGGCGGTAACATTTGGCTGCAAGAGTTGGCCTCGCGGTAATGATGAAGTTTCGTCCGACTGGAACAACTGGGACTTCTCTTATCTGGGCTGGCTTTAAGCCGTAATTTAAGCACAGACCGGCATTGAAGTTGCAGTTAGTGCGTTGTCTCCCGAATGGCCTTTGAGGCAGCTTAAATATTCCATTCACACATTCTCCACACATTTCGTCAGCCGCTTCAATTGGACTGATTTAATTGAATCAGTTCGGTCGTCTAGTACTGGCCCCTCCCCCCACCTCTGGTCTACCGATTCCGTGTCTTCGGTCTTTCAATTTACTACCCCTGTCATTGTTGTTCCTCTAGTTTCGGGTCTACGTTTGACTATTCACTCCACCTCACAGTTCTTTCTTTTTTTGCACACGTTTGCGTGCCATGCACGGCATAAAAATTTTGACACAAAAGCCGTTGCATACAATTGGGCGCAGAGCAGCGGCACACACAGATGGCCTAGCTGGCCATGTATGTGTCTGTGTCTGTGTCTATGTCTGCGACTGTGTGTGTAGAAAAGGAGGGGAAAAGAGGCTCTACGAGCGCCGTAGAGACGTGTTGAGGTCGTTGTCAAGCTCTGATTTTGTATGCAGCAGCCCAAAAAATCTTTCTAAAGATTTATTTTGCGAGTAGATACTCGCAGATGAAGTCGTCACGCCTGATTACAGATCCTTCGGAACCTTTGAATATTTAGCCAGACATTTAAAATACAATGATGTATCACCTCAAGATCAGTTTCGAAGAAAGTGTTCAGGGAAAATATGAAAACTTTAATTGAAATATTTATACCCTTGCAGACAGTATTTTAATTAAGTCAAAAGTTTGCAACGCAGTTCTAGAACAGCATCGCCGGGCCATTCGATCAAGCCATTTCTAACTGCAATATCATAAATAAAATAAAATTACAACTTCGTTGTTTTTTTTCAAATACCCATTTACTCCAAAATATAGTCCGTTCTTGAAATTTCGGAATTACGGTTTTACTTTTATAAAAATCGGATTACTATATTAATATCTAACATAAGAAGGATCAAAAATTGAAACGAAAAACAGCTGAAAAGGTATATAAACTTCAGTTTGCTTGCTTTCTTGATGTATCTTTGAGCTAATAAGCCGAATATAATAATTTTTCATCTTTTTGTTTTCTTGAAATACTTTTCTTATTGAAGTTACATTTTTGAACCAAGCTTTTCGTTACTCTCGTATTATGTTTGAAACAAATTTTTTTTTTTTTTTAAGTTCAGATCGACTCCTTTTATCTGATTTATTAATACCCGCTCAACAATTACCTACATTTCGACCAGCACCCAAAAAGCAACGATTCGGAATTTTATTCGAAACTCCTTATATTGAGGTTGCAATCCAATATCTTTACAGAAGCCTTACTAATATCCATTTCTAGCTAACTACTGTATTTGTACCAAAGATAAACGATAGGAAAAACTTTCCCCCTACACTTCCACCCTTCTCCTCCCCCTTTGGCTAACATCCTTATAAATAATGCTAAATAAATTACCCCGCATCGAAAAACAATCATTACACTTGTGAACCATGGCCAATTTCGATTAGAGGGATCGAGTCGCTCAGGAACAAAAGTGAAACTAACTTTTGGTTCATTCATAAAGAAAAGAAGTTCGACGGTGTGGGGCTGGATTAAACTGTATCTCATGAGGGGCCTACGCACGTATAAGATTTCTTATTTACGATAGGGAGACACTGCAGAAATAGCAAAATAGCAAAGAAAAAGTAGGAAGAAATGGCAAGTCCCCGCCCACCAGCTGTTCGCCCCTTGAACCCACTCTCGAAGCTAGTCAGGCAGAAAAAAGGCAGACAACGCAGAGACAAAACACAAGCCAGTAAAAAGGCCAAATATTGAATCGTGCGTAATTTACGATAAAAAGGGGAAAATTGGAAAAGTTTTCTCCAGTCTCCCTCCCAGATTTAGTAGTAAGTAAGGCAGAAGATTGGGGCTGGGACCTTCATCGTTCGCTTTCGCTTATTTATGTAGTTCGTGTCGAGGGGCAGCAAGGCACGTGTTTCTCCGCAGACGGTTGGTGGCAACGGAGGGCCCCTTCCGGCCATGTAAATAAAAATTCTGATTGCCTGAACTCGGGCGCTCGAGCCCATAGCATGTGGGAGTTGTGTGTGTCTCCAGGACCAATCGAACGTTTTTATTAAATATTACAAGTAGCTAAATAAATTAGACAAAGGACTGCTATTGCGTTGCCTGGGAATGTGAATGGAGCTCGTACGGGGGAAATTGGGGAGAGCTAAGAGCTATTGTTCTCGATAATAACTCCTTCGGGCGGTCCTCATGCCCTCCGCTGCACGGACTCATCGGCCAACATGTCGTATGCGTTTTAATGTAAATGTATGCCTTAATTGCAAAGGACTTTTTGCGTGCGGACACATTGAGCTGCAGCTGTTTCAGCGGCGCCATTAAATCGCATTTGGTCAGCCGATTGTTGGCGTCGGGCACTTTGCATCGCGATAGGCGGAACGGCCTCCCTCCCCCTCACAAAAGCTCTGCCATAAAAACATTTATGTAATTGCTGTTATCGACAGCGGCTGGCTCTGCAAAATGGCCTCGTGGTCGCATCCCGTATCGGGAATGACGATGGCGATGGCGATGGCCCCGTAAACGGGCCTTTAATACACTTTTGATTGGATTGTCGCACAAGTTAATTGAACGGCGAGGCATATTGCTAACATTGTCGGGCCGGGCACCGCCTAAGCCACTGAGCCGTCGCGTTTTTAGCCGGCCAGCACAAATCTGGTGGCAATTAATTTTGAAACTAGCAGGAAGGGCTCTTCACTCCCGCACCATCCCTCCACGGCTCCACGAAACTCAATTCATGTCGATTCATGGAAGCTCATTAGTTCGCAGACTGGACATGGCCAACCCCCAAAAATATGCAGCAGTTTCTTTGTTCGGTTGTATCGAGGCCACCCGCCTCAGCATCCAGTGCAACTTTTCCGTCTCTGGATCTCTATCTCAGCCCGGCTCGATTCCTTTTTAATGCTCGAACGCACTCTTATCTTTTGTTGTCCTCGTCGAGCAAATTGTTTGAGAATGACCCGCGTAATTTTGCTCCTTAGCTGATTTACTGTAAATTGTATTGTGGCAGAGATTGGGCCAATCCCATAAAAAATCGTATACATGTGGCATCGAAATGTATTCGACAAGCTTACAAATTGATTGACCTCCAGAAGAGGATTTGCTCCACCTTTCTCTTGGCTTGTGACTCGATCCTGGCCTGCGCTAATGGATGGTCAGTAATTTGGCATGTGTCAACGCCAGGAAGGTAATGAATGTTTCCTCTGATTGGTGACTTACCTTTCTGATAACTCATCATTGAGAATTAGTTGCGCATAGATGAGAGGAATGAAAGCCGGGTTCAATACAGCAAAGCCAGTGTGGAGAACTGAAAGACGAAGGGAATGAAATGATCAGATTTATGGATGACTTAAGAATTTCTATAATTTTACTATGGAGCCCTGATGCAATCGGCATAATAGGGGAGGGACTCCACCCCAGCCCTTCGGCAAACACCATCTTCACCGGCATCGCCTTCTGCCACTTTAGCACATTTTTACTTCTGCGACTACTTGAGGCAGTTAAAAACCTTTTGCATTCGTTTGTTTGACTTCTCCATCCAGCAAAAAGATGGCAGCATTCTCGTTCTCGATGTGTACTTAGAACTGAGCCCGCATCCCAGAAGCAGTTGCAGAAGACGAACCCAAGACGTTGTAGTGGCTCAAGAAGGAGGAGCGAGTAAACAATCTCAAGTTTTGTTGGCGTTAGTTTTGTAAATTGCAGGTTGCAACATTTTCATTAAATTAAGTCAAATAGCAAACAAGTGGATAGGAGCCTGGCAAGACTATGGCAAACAATCAGGACTCCTGGCTCCTGACGAGAGTCCTGTAAACAATAACAGTTAACTGCCAGGCGGGTAAGCAGATAGGCATTACCGAAATTAAGACCCAAGGAGGTGGGCTCGCCCCGAGTGAACTATGGGGAATGAAGTTGTCATAGGCTGGGAGGATTTCGCCGAGGGATTGCGGCGTTGCCAGGCGATGACTTTGATCAAAAATCCCCAAATAACGATTGCAAATGCTCCGAAATTATATTTCCATTCTAGTCTGCTCCCGATTAATCTGCGGACGTTTCTGGCACGAGACTCGGTAGCCGAAACACCAAACGTCAGCTGAAACTGACAGCGTGTCCTGGTTGCACATTTTTGCCTGGCTCGACAAAAGTCAAGAGCTCACAGCCGAGAGGGCCACAGTCTCCTCCCCGGCATGGCATTAATTAAGTTTGTAACGACAAATGCCAACACGACACGAGACGTAAACACTCGCACAGACACACGCCCTCCCATAAATCAGCCAGCTCCATCTCCATACAAATGCAAAGCGGCAGCAGCGACAACGGCTCAAAGGATATTCCAAACGGGCTGGACGGGGACCCAGTGCAGTGCCGGTGCTGCTTGGATGTCATGACGATGTTAATTTTATAAACTCTTCACTTTTTAGCCCCCTTGCTGCCCCCGATCCCGGCAAACGCTTCAGGAGCGCAAACTATCCCGCCCTCGTGGTTGTTTTTGTTGGTCCTGCGTGTTTGTGTCCACGCTAGTTAGCGCCTGCGGTGGGTTTGTGTCTGTGCTGTGACGGATGTGCGTGGCATGAGTGTGGGTGTGTTTGTGTCTCCTGCCGTCTCGTTAACGGGATTTGAGGGTCGTTTTAGCATCGCCTCCGTTGCGGCTGCTGTACTTAAATAAACGTAAATATTTCTGACTTTAACTTTGTGGTAGATGTGCTCTTGCAAAACTGTCCCAAACATGATATTTTTAATTATAGGATTAGTTTTGAAGGAATTCAATTCAATTCTTTAAGCTTTATTAATTATAGGATTAGTTTTGAAGGAATTCAATTCAATTCTTTAAGCTTTATTAAAAAAATATATCTCTATTCATGTATACGCTAAAAAAGTATTATTTACTGTGTGATTAATTCTTGATTGGCAATATTAGGATATAAATATATTATTAACCAGCTGGTTTTTATTGACTTTACTCGCTCAGTTCAAGGCCATCCTATAAGCTAAATTAGCTCTATCGGGGCTGAAAATCAGCTATGAACTTATATGTCTTCAGAAATTTTAAATGTGTACAAACCCACATTTGAACCCTCTACTTTCAACGTTTAAAACTTCTGGCACGTCTTTAAGCCAGCCAGTGCCGGCTCTGATTTATTTTAATTTTCCTAGCCACGTGCAACATTTTTTTATTTGTTTGACGCGCCGCATTTTGCAGCTCGCATTTTCCAGCCAGGCGCTCCTCGTATGGGAAACTCGAGGAGCCAACGAAACGTAGCCTAGCAATTGAGCCTTGACAGAAGGTGGAAAGCAGGGGAGGCAGGAAACGCCGACTTTGCTTTGTGCAACAGCGCGTGAATCGGTAAAGGAGGTAAAAATGCAATGTCTAGGCAAACACAGAGAGTGGGGTAAATATATATATATGGTTGGGTGGCAGTGGAAAAGAATTTTATTTGTTTATAGCACAGAAAGCGGCCAACAAAAAGTGCAACGCAGCTGCCGGCTAAAAAGCAAGGAGCAAGGACTCTTAGAACATTGCAGGTGCAACAGACTCCCACACACACGCTCATTGTCAATATGGGGCGTAGAAAACTTGCGACTATGTGGGAGTATCTATTGTCTGTCTGTCCCATATGGGTATCTGTGTGCATTAACGGTCTTTGCAATGATTTTGTTTTTCCGTAAGTTGTGTAAAAGTGAAACGCCCTTTTAAATAAAAAAAAATAAAAAGTAGGGAAGGGAAGTGTTTTTTCGGAAAAAAAAAGTATTCCGAATAGCAGCCGCCATTTTCAGTTACTTAAATTTCATATAAACATTTTTCTAATACATTTTAAAGTCCAAACATATGTACGATTATGCTTAATAAACCACCATTTTTATTTTTGAATCCAAGCTTTATACTAAATAATTATTCTTAAGTTCCATAAACTTTGTTGTCAATATAACTATTGACGGTAGTACAAGGAACGACGATGAAATTCGCTGTGATGGTCCGATATGAACGAGTGAAAGGAATCGCTCTAACTAAATGGGACTGAGCTTTAAGGGACAGTGGGGCAAATTGTTCCAATGTCGTTTTTAACCCTGGTTGAGTTCTTGTTAAAAATATGCGTCCAAAAAACCAATTGCTTAGAATTTAATGCTCCGTTAAAAAGGTATTAACAATATTAAAATTTGTATTTCTTTCCAAAAATAACATTTTTTATTGTTTGTCGAATTCTAAAAATGGATACTGGAATCATTATTATGTTTTAGGAGTTCAAAAGTCGACTGTTTTTTGTGTGTTTTTTACCTGATCTTTATAAATAGAATTCTTTTAAACTTGGAGGGTCAACTCTTTAAAATTGTTGGATGCCGTTTTAGACGGAAGTGGTAGAGTTAGAGGTTGGTGTCCATTGACGATTGTCATCATAGTTAACTGCTAACGGAACACCTGGAGGATTATGTCATATAGTTTCCATATGAAAATCGTACTATCTTTATTTTTTTAAGCATAGAAATACAGAATATTGAATTTTTGTACATAATATCTGCTTGGGTATATAAACTTCGGCTCTCCAAAGTTTTGTTTCCCTTTTGTTTATAATTAGAGATAGAAAGCCCTTAAGTTCTTAAGCTTTTGACAGATATCAATTGCACATAATTAAAAATTTACCTATTTGGAACCTTCCAAAAGAAAAATGCAGAAGAAGTCTTAATGAAAAAATGTTCAAAGTTTCATTTCAATCGTCGCTTTTTGTCACGATCGTCACGACTTTCTACTTCGCCGTATTACGAAGAGAGTAAATTTAAACGGACGATAAAACGATTTTCATTTTCTGGTCTGCACTTTGAGGCCACATATTATTGACATACCTTTCTTCTCTTCTTAGATCGTCTTTGTCAAGCTTGACGTTAAATCACGTGCTAAAATTTAAATTTAATTTTTAAAGAAATAATAATGAATATATATGGTCACACAATCTGAACGCTTGTCAAAAACTTAATATTTATTCTTCTATGCACAGGTTTAATTTTTGAATCATTTACGTTTTGATATTTTTGTTTTATTCTGTTTTTTACTTATTGAATATTCTCTCATAGAGACTGACAAAAATGAATCCCTCGAAGCATAAAAAGTAAAATGTAAATGGTAAGGTTAATTTTATAGCCATTTTATTTTTTTAGTTGTGAAAACATCTATTCCATATAAAAAAATCTTAAAGTTAAATCAAATGTTTATTTATGTATAACTATAAAAATATTAATATTTTCACTCAGAAAACAGATTATAGTCAAATGCTATGTCCTGACATGGCATATGTGGCATCATTTGCAATCGTATTTGCTCAACTATTTGTAAACATTTTCCATTAACCCTTGCAATCCCTTCACCGATTACGTTTGCAAAGTGCAACATCCGAAAGCGGAGTACATAATTTAAATGGCAACTTTAAAATGTTTACCAAACGCTTCATCGTAGTTGTAATGTGAATTTACGGGCCAGCAGTATCCAAACACACTGGCACCAACACAACCACACACCCACACACACATTCAGCAGTGTCTGTTGCTATTTGCGCTTAACCCACGAAAGGAGAGCCCTGAAAGGCAGGCTACCTTTTTTCTTCTCGACTCTGCAGGCGCGAAAAGATATGCGACCGACGGCGTGGAGGAAATGGAGGAGTGTAAAAATGGAGGGACCGACGCAAGTTCACCATTCGACACTCAGTCAGTCGGATGGACGGACTTTCGTGCTCATTACTGTGGCAAATTTTTTCTACGTTCCCGCTGGATTTTAATTAAAATTAATTACATTAAGTGCAGTGAGCAAACAACAAACATCAGCATAGAAATCCGCAATCGCCGCCGAGAAACAGAAAAACAACTAAAGAGGTGAAACGCTGTAGTCGACTTTAAGATACCCGCCGTTCAATCTTCTGTTACAAAAGAGATGCATAATTAATAAAAATAAATAAAATTCAATTCTTGAGCTATTAATAAAATTTATTGTTGCTATAGAAATTTATTAATATTTATTAGAGAGTTGGGTTACACTTAAATAAGTAGAATTAAATTTTGTTAAAGACTTTTCGGGGCTATTGATGTTCATTCGGACATACGGACATGGGTTGATTCGACGGTGATTAAGAATATATTTACTTTTTTTCTCTTTACATACTGTTCCATAAACGAAACATACCCGTTTACTGAACAAATAACGCGTATAAAAATAAAAGAGCCCTACATGCAGACTCGGCAAAGAGAGAAAGAAATACCAAGAATTGTAAAGAACGAGCTCGGCAGTTAAAGCCTTAACGCGCTTTAATCGGCTCCGTGCTTTGATGG